AGTAGGTTGTTGATTAAGCAGTGTCTCAGCACCACGGCTTAGAGGGCGGCTGGGTGGACGGGCAGGACCTGGAGAACCCTGAGGCGACCGCTGAATATGACTCCAATCTCCAGAGTGCGTACGAGTCCAATCTCCAGAATGCGTGCGACCGAAAGGAGGTGGGGTGTGCGATTTGCTCCTGCCATGTCCATACATTATAGGCTGCTGCTGATGCGCCGCACGATGCATCACCCAGTCTTCAGGATCCAACCTTGTCCTGTCCGGCTGCTGTGGTGACGCTGCTGCAGGCTGCCATGCGACCTGTCGTGAATCCGAGATCTGCGGAGAGTTCGAACCACTGCGCGCATGCATGGGTTGGTTAGGTGAACCTGCACCGGAGATATAAGACAGTCGGTGCTGTTCGTTCGGGGTCGTCGCAAGGTTCTCTTTGGATCGCGAGGCGCTGTTGTCGTGTAGCATCTGTGTCATGGTCCCACTAGTGCCCGGACGCTTGCCGTCAAAGTCCAACGCATACGTCGGGCCAAAGTCAATACTAGGAACAGCTGCAGGCGCCTGTGCTGGGTCTAGAACAGACTTGTAGCCATGTGGATCTTCATCTGAGGGAAGCTTTACGTTTGGGTCTCCAATCATGGTTAGAACGCCGCTTCTTGGTCGGTCGGCGCGTCGTTCAGGCACTCTTCGTGGAGGAGGCGCAGGTTCCTCTTCAGCGATGCTGGCATAGTCTGGCGTGGAAGTCGATATGGCATCATCGTCGTAGAAACTACTTGATCCGCTTGGCTGACGATTCAGAGTGGGCTGTGTGATGTTGAAAGCGTCGAGAGCTTCAGGGTCGATTACGTCCTCTCGTAAACTGTCGAGTCTTGAGCTACTGGTCGAAAGGGTGTCATCCTCTTGCGAGGCTAGGGGAGACCGACCTGGTACTGGTTTACGGGGTATGCCGCCGCTTTCGGGGTGCGGACGATAAGGGAGCTCGTGACTGGGGGGCTGTGGCGGCAACTCACTATGTTCTGGGACCGATGGAGCTGTCGGCTGGTAGCCTGTGGGAGAGTCGACGAACTCGGAATGCTCGACGTATGGTGATGCGGGAATGGTAGACAGGCGGTTCCCAGAGTTTTGGTTCGTTGGAGGCGGCCTTGAGTTGACACCAAGATACATCGATTGCCCCTGATCACCGTACGCGTTGTAGTCACCACTGCGTCTGCTCTGTATGGTGTCCTGATTTCTCCAAGCCCCGACTGCGCCAGCGGCAGCTACGCCCCCTGGGAAGGATCCATGTGAAGCGTCAGCCATTTGCTGAAGCGTGGCAGAGTCGACTGCAGGGTTTGGCTTTGCCATGGGCATGTTGGGACGAATGGGTGGCTTTTGATTGGCAGCGTGCTCCTGGGTCGGAGGAAGGTCGACATAACCTTGCGGTGGAGCAGACAGATCTGCAGGCGGCGGTGGAAGGTTCTGTGGCTCCTTGATGGGGCTCTCGTCGTAATCTGACGCAGACGAATCATAAGGCTGGACCGCCCCGTTCGACGAACCGTTGAGTATACGATGCTGGGGAGGCGTCGGCGGTCGCTCGTCTTCGTATGGCGTCTCCTCTCGCGTGAATCTAGATGGATTGTTCTCGTTGCGTCCGTTGACTTGCTCTGACACAGATCGCTGATGGCGTGGGGTACCGAATGGGTTTGCTGCGGGAGCTGTTCCGACGCGACGCGGCGCTTGCACTTCAAAGTCTGGGAACTTGCGTGTAGGAGATGACGCGCGTGTGGACGGGCTGGAACGAATGGAGCCTTGGTCTTCAAATCGCAAGTTACGAGGTGTGAAGCCTGCCCGGCTGACGGTGTTCCTGCGGCTGGCGCGACTGTAGATGGATTCTGCGTCTTGGTTCGCAGTCACCATTCTTGTGGATGTGAGGTCCTTCAATTGCTTCCTCCAGTGGCGCTCTGACCACTTGTCGCTGCCCTCGGTGTTGATCAAGCCCACCACGTCCCACATCTCCAAGTATCCGTAGCGCCTGTCGGAGGGCATAGCGAACATCAAACCGCGGGTGTCTAGAACGTCTGCAATCAACTTCTTTGGGCGTCCGTATAGTGAGAATGTATCGAACACGGGGAAAAGGTACTGGAGCATAATCTCAAATCCTGAAATAGCGGGACGCGACTCCGGCATGACAAAGACGAATCCTTCTGTTGTACTCTCTGGCGTAGAGTGGATGGTGATCTTGCCCTCGATCTTGACCAATGTAGACTGGTCGATGAGCGGCTTCGACTGCGGGTAGATGGCGTAGCACGAGTAGGCGTCCTTGACCGTGGCGATGGCCTTGGTTTTCTTGGTGACCTTCTTGGTATCGTAGAACTTGATGTCGCCTTTGAGTATCGGCGGTCGCTCGTAAGCGTTGCCCTTCTTCTGCAGCTTCTGCATCTTGAGGTATTCCTTCTCATCTGGCGGAGAGACGACACACCAGCAGCGGCGCCACGGAGTGCCCGCGCCAAACCGAACGCGCACCCAGTCCTCGTACTTTGCGCACTGTCGGTCCAATATCATGCGGATGTTGTTCAGCGTCTTGCCCTTGCCAGCGATCAACGCACCCGTATACGCTTCTGACAGGGTCGTGTGTTCGAACATGGCGAGGCGGATGCCGGCGGTCCATTGCGTAAGCGCGTGGTAGGAATCGAAGTGGAAGAGGTATTTGTTGCTCGCGGCCGTGGATACGCTGAGGATGTTGTCGAGCTTCTTTCCGTCTTTGAGGGTCATGGAGGGGATCTGCGGGGTCAGTGAGGTCATAGTGAGGGCGTGAGCGGACATACCATGTGGATTGCAGCATCCGTCAGGTTGATGAACGTGGGCAACACCTCGGCGTCACCCCCAGCCTGGTCTAACGCGCTCGCATCCCAGAGGGAGAGGATGGTGCCCACGAGCTGGACGAAGTACTCCTGCCATCTCCGATCTGGCGCGGGACGGCCGCCTGCATTTCCGTTAGTATCACAGACAGGCATGGCCTACAAGGCTGACGTACGGGTGTCGGTGTCGTGGAACTTGAGGAAGTAGCCCTCCTGGTACAGCTTGTTCGAGTGGCTGTTCAGGAAGGTGAAGATGCGCTGCAGCTCGGGCAGCGTGTCCTGGCTTACTTCCATGACGGGCGGCTGGTATGTCTGGATCATGGACATGGGACGGACCGAGGCTCGCGAGTCGCTGCGCTCGCGTTGGGTCGCGCGGGAGGGAGGGCGCTCGCTGTTATACGAGTCGAGAGCGGTGGCCGACTGTGCAAAGTTGGCTGAGCTGACGGGTTGCTTCGTCGAGGGTGAAGGCGGAGCGGGGGACGCGGGGCCCGGAGACGGTCCGGCGGACGGAGGGTTCTTTTGCAAGGTATTCTGGTTGGAACCACCCCATTGTGACATAAACGACAGAACTGTGAAGGGGCGAACCGGGCGCAACATTAGTGAATGTTCTTGCAACGACGGGCACTGCCGACAAGGGAGCGAGGGACCCCGTTTTGTAGCCGGCGCATTATTTACCTCTCTTTGGACGACCCATGGCAGCAACGAGTGGCGGTATTAGTACAAGTGGAAGGTCTCTCCTCTATGCGGTGCACAATGCAGGTGCTCTACGGGCGCGTTGTCGGTACGGAACCAGGCGTGCAAGCCACGGGTACACCGGCTCGCGGAATGTTACGGCGCAGCGACTAGAGCTTCTTCGGGAACGAGCGACGAGAGCACAGGATTAGAGATGCGTGGAGAGGCGGAGGAGGACAGCAATCATGGAAACTACAAGGAGCGAAAGAGCGGTAGGCGTAGTACGTATATCTGAGGTCCGTGGTGGACTTAGACTTGTGGAGGAATTTCTGGGCACGCGGCAGGGATTAGCGTGCCTATGACGCGAACCTGCGAAAGGGTTCTGGTCTTTGGAGATCGTCGCGCGCTGGACGATCCATCTACCGGCTGACAGATTCGTATTCCATTGCGACTTCTTCCATATCCGCGCAGACGGCAGCGCGCTCCTTCATCGACATCAACGCATGGCCGCGTGTTCCATATCCACAATCCTCCCGGAGACCTCAATGGCCACTGCACGCTTATTCATTGGCTCTTGGTCGTATTCCCAGCGCATCTAGAGGCCCCGTACTAGACTAAATTGGCGGCCGCCCACCTGTCTTCGGTCACTCGGCACGGACTTCTCCTGTTCTGGGTAACGATGATGCTGTGGCAGTGCATCTTGGCCGTTTCTGCCAAATCCATGTGTTGGCAATAGCGGCCGGAACGCGGCCCACGGAATCTGGGGTACCCAGCTGTTCTTCCCTTAACAGAGGTTTGTCAGATGCGCTGACCGGGCATACAGATCTTACCTGCATGCCATCCTAGCCGAGCACTCCGAGTAACCGGCGCGTCGCGTCGTATGTTGTACCACAATGCCATGTCAGACAACGGTGCCAAAGGTTGATGTTGGCATGCATCATCGATTGAGTGACGAACGTGATCGCCCATCGTGGCGTTGTGTAAATCAAGGCTGAGACTGTCTACTTTGGTATTATTCAATAATTCGTTTTGAGCCGGCAGTCCGCATGGCAGATGAGGGGAAGCTGCCGGAATGGCTCGCGGATATTCGTCAAGACAGTCCTTGTGTTCATGACTACCGTCTCGCCTTGCCAATGCGCTTGGCGAGGATGTCGTGACGGAGACGATAGGCGTTCACGTGATATGATGCTTCTGGACTAGCGTTCTCACGGCGCGGTAGCGTGATGGCAGCTGACAACGCGGGCGCGACAGATCGCCTGCTCCACTCGGTGCCAGACGCGTCGAGCTGTAGCATGTCAACTTCAGTTTGATACTGCATTTCGGATAACAACCCAACTCGCCCACTTCTTCATCGTTCCGTTCTCACCGCACAGTACCCTCGCTTAATATCCCGCGTCACAGTCAGACAGTCAGTGCTGCCCGCACCGAGCACACACCAGCACATCACAGTCACCACTCCACCAACGCCAGACCTCCACTTTCCCACCTTCACCTTCCACAATGGCACGTAAACGTAAAGTCGCAGACGAAAAACCCTCGTCCACTGGGTCAACGCCTCAACCCAATTCTACAATGGCACGTAAGCGCAAAGTCGCAGACGAGAAGCCCACGTCCAATGGCTCAACGCCCCAACCCAACGGTGCAAAGAAACGAAAGATTGACTGGTCGACGGTAGACAAAGATCTCAGCTTCAAGATTACAGCCGTCACTGTCAGGAAACACAAGAAGCCAAGCAAATCAGCAAAATCAAAGCAGGGCGCTGTAAATGGCGGGCACGTCAGCGAGTTTGACGCGCCTTTGGACGCGGAAACCACGCAGCCAAATCCATATTCCGAGACGCAACTACCTGAGCTACACGTCAAGATAAAACCTGCGCTGTACTGGGAGGCTATGCGGCGCTATCGGAGGTTCACTGTGAACGGCGAGGAGTTCGAAGTAGGTCAGATGATCTTTGTGAAGAAGAGCGAAGAAGACAAGATCGCAGAAGGTCCCGGTACGATTGAGCATTGGATCGCCAAAGTTCTCGAAGTTCGCGGCGGAGATCCCGAGCATGTCTTTCTCAGAGTGTACTGGGCATACCGGCCTGAGGACATACCAGGTGGACGACAAGCGCATCATGGCGACAGCGAGCTGATAGTCAGCAATCACATGGATATCATCGACGCTCTGTCAGTGGATTCATCCGCAGACGTGGTGTATTGGGACGACGACCCGGAAAGCCTCGACCTCAAGACAGATCAGCTATTTTTCCGCCAGAGCTACGACATTACAAAGCGCGCCAACAGCCAATTGAGCAAAATGAAAACGTACTGCATCGACAAGAAGCCTTGCAATCCGGACGAGCTTCTTCTGCAATGCCCACAATGTTCAGAGTGGCTTCATGCGGACTGTCTCAAGAAGCGAGCGCTCCAAGACGCAGCACCGCAATTGAAGAAGCGGGGCCGGCCTAGCCAAGTTCAAGCCTCCACCACCTTGGATGCAAGGATCAAGGCGCAAGACAACAAGGCCCGCCTGACAATATTAGAGAGGCGCGGCGGGAAACCCAAACGCAAGTGGGACGTGGACATACTGTGTCTTGTATGCGGCGGGATGGTAGAGGAAGCCAGCGACAAAGCATACAAGGAAGTGCCTGAAACTGCAGGTTCTCAATTCGGCTCCGATATTTCTGAAGACGACAAACACGACATCATACCCACGGCATCTATGGTTGCCAAACCGCCCGTCCAGGACGACGATGCAGACTCCGTCATGGGCGATGCAGAGTCCGATCAAGACGTCGAAGCCAAAGACCCACCAGGAAGCGATGCTGAGATCAAGGGTGAGACCGTCGAAACACCCTCCTCCGACTAGCCCACTAAATTCCCATCCTAGTGCCAAGAAAGAGAGGCCGTCCTCCCGGATCCAAGAACAAGAGGAAGCGCACTCCTTGGGCTCCAACTAAAAAATCTACGTTGCCACATGCCAAATATCGCAAGACGGAGACTGGGAAAGAGGGTATTTTCCCGCATGCTGCATACGATGTGGATTCAATTACGGTCGTGGAGAAGACTGCGAAGACGGTGTCCGGATCTGCGAAGAAAGCGACAGCAACAAAAGTACTTGGATCTACACACGACGCGACAGCGAGCGCCCAGCCTTCTTCATCACAATTTGTGCCTTCCTCACCACAAGTGGGATCCAAACCAACACCATTGAGTCCCGAACCTGCGGAAGAAGTGCTCCCAACCATTGCACACAAAACACCAGCTCCAGCACCCCTTAGCGAATCAGTCTTCCAATCCGGCGTACGATCCGTGAAGAAACTCTTCTGGCGAGGATCCTAACATCACAGCGAGATCATTTCATTACCAAGTATAGATTTCAGGCGGGGTGTAATGGTAGATACCCCTTTCATTCGGCGTACACATCACTACAGCATACTCTGGTATTCCGCTCTGTAGCGAGCGTTTCCTCGCTATCAATACCCACCATTAATTAATTCACTGTTCAATTCAAGTCATACACGTGTAAATTATGCATTCTCACTCTAGGCGGTCTAACAATACAAAGCCCGATGAAGGCATGTATACTCGTTAAAATCAGCAAAGGGGGTATCCACCTCAATGTCCCATTCCCACCACCCATGTGAAAATACACTACAAATAACGCCGTCGCTGAATGCTGTTTGATCCCGTATGCATGCATGCAGCGGCCTTGAAACCTCCTTTTCCTTAAACCATATTTCGCTGTGGGGGAAAGAGATGCCCGTCCGTTAAACACCTTAGAAATGCATGTTGTGTTATCCTCGATACCTCGTCATGGCCATCGCTGTCGACCTTGTCTCTTACTGCCGACCTTTTCGTCTCGATCTCATCGTTTCTTCTCACCTGGCAAGTTGGCCTTTCCTACCTTCATCTTTAGTAGCAGTCTTGGCCCACTGCTGCCACCCCTCTCCACGCTAACGAGACCGCTCTTAGCAGTGCCGTTGCCGTTTGACATACTACTTGGCTCGAAGCTCTGGCGCTTAGATGGCCTATCGTCGTCCCCGTTTCCAGTAACCATCTTACGTTTCTTGTTCTCTCCAGCGAGAAAGCCGGCCAGCCTTTTGGGTGCAATTCGCAGCTTGACGATCTTGCTTCTCTTTTGCTTGATTACAGGTCTGGCCACGGATGCAGGGTTGGTCGCAGCAGGTCGTGACGGAGCAGGGGCTGCGCTTGGCCGAGGTGATGGAGCGGCGCTAGGACGTGGTGATGGAGCTGCGCTGGAGGGCCTTGATGGCACAGTAGAGCCGGAAGCGGTCTTGGTCCTGATCTTAAGCTTGGGCGCCGGCAGAGGAACCGGTGATGCGATAGCAGGCGGTGTAGCCATAGCCTTTGGTACCTTGATGACCGCTGGTGTTGGCTTCGCTTGGGCAGGCGCAGGAGCTGGAGTCGGGACCTTGGGTGGTGGAACCGGAGTCTTGGTAACCGGAGCAGGAGCAGCGGTGGGAGCTTGAACCGGAGCCGGTGCTGGAGTCGCTGGCTTGGGGGTCGCTGCTGGGGTGGCTATCTTCTTTGACGGCTGCATCAGCGGCACTTCTGGAGTCGATGAACGCGAATCCGTTGCGGCTGGAGCGGCAGGGGGCGGGGGCGGTGGTGCTGGTACTGGCGCTTGCACTGGCGCTGGAGATGCAGGTTTGGACACTGGTGCAGGGGATGGTGAGTGATAGACAGTGGGTGAGAACACTATAGACTGGCTTCTCTGTAAGGCCTGTGTAGAGTCCGCAGTTGCCGGTGTAGATGCAGTAGACTGCTTCTTCGGTCCTCCGATCTTGAGCGACAGCTTCGGCAGTGCTGATTTCGGGGCCGGAGCAGCGGTATCTCTTGTGGGTTGTGGTGTAGGTAGTGCGGCAGGTGGAACAGGCGCCTTTTCCTTCTTGTCGTCTTTATCCTCCTTCTTCTCCTCCTTAGGAAGCGTCCTCGATCTCCATCTAAACTTATTGGTCTTTTTGAAGACCACTGATGCCTTTCCAATATGCTCCACCTTCCAATAGCGTGGCATAGACAGTTTGATACGCAGCTTGTTGGACTTCTGGTTGTCGAAGATCATGTCGCAGATGTCCAAAAGCTCAGACATGTCGTTCGTAGACAGTACTTTCGACTTCAGAGCTTCTTCCAGGACCATACGCAGGGTCTGGTTGCCCTGCATGTCGCTCTTCAACCCTCTCAGAGCCCCATTAAGGTTCTGCCGGGCGAGAGCTGATGCACGCTCAGCATTACTGGCTTCGTTCTCGATCATAAGTGTGCCTGCTGAAGTGTCCGCAGCCTTCTCCGGCGCCCAGACGTCTCCAGTAGCGATTTGTCCAATCGCAATGCCAAAGATGCGTAGCAGCTGCTTTCTGAAGTACGGCGAAGGATCGGACCGAATCTCATGCATGAGGAATCTCAAGACTGTATCCTTCCGGATCATGCCGAGCCGAATCAAGCACTCCCAAGCTTTCAAGCGTACGTTGTCTGCATTTCCAAGCTGGGCGTACTGGAGGAATTCGGTCGGCTTGAACGGGGTGACCCGGCTCATGACCAACTTCAGCGCACAGTCAAGGGCGGTAGTTGTGTAAACGTTCTGGTAGGTAGGGATCCATTCGTCAAGTCTCTGGTGTCGGGTAAGCTCTCCGATGGCTTTGCTTGTGAAATCCTGCTCTTGAGCCCATTCTTCGTGACTAAGGTCGGCACTGGCTGTAGTTTTTGTGAGTGTCTCCGCAAGACAGCGCATCAGGGTAGAAATATAATGGTCGTCGCTGTAATCGTTTCCGCGGTTGTCGTTGTACCGAACAAGATCGAGCAAGAAGCGCTTCGCTTCTAGTGGTGATCTGCCATCTTCGCCCTTTATCTTAGCAATGGCTTTGGGGATAGCGCATTGTATCAGATACATGCTACGATCAGAGAAGTCGTTGGAGCGAGTCATGGGTGAATTGGGTAAGCAGAAAAGCTCGCGGAAAGCCTTCTGCAGATGGAACAGGCCAACCCACTCTGTTCGCTTCAGTGCACTCTGAGCCAAAACATTAGCGGCCATGGTCCGTATGCCGTGGAAGTATCGGTTGTCCATCAGCGTCTTGACCAAGAAAGTAGAGATCAGCTTATGACCTTCCTTGTTGGCGAGAAACTGTATCGACTCTGCTTGTGCAACGACATCCTTGTCTTGCTGCAACTGCGAGACATACATGTATGACGGCATGTCCTCGATGTTGGTCCGACATATCCATTCAAAGTCTGCATCGACTCGAATCCACTCGTAAGCCTCCCCCTCTTGCTTAGCCTCGTCTTCCGGTGGCCAATCGTCTAGTCGCCATTCATCGTGTTCCTGGGGAGATGTGAATAGATCTCCCAGCATGTAGAAGGTTACATCCTCTTGAGTCTCGCCTGAAGCATCCAGACCCGCAGCAGCAGCCATGCGCTCCTTGTTAAGTCGATTTCTCTTGAGTCGCTTGTACTTTGTGTTGTACGGAATCTCTACTTTGACGTTGTTCGAATTGATATCGACGATGTGTTCGTAGGGTGTTCCGTCAGCTTCGTGAATTCGAATAGTCATCGGGCCAACGAAGGTGGGGTATCCTGTCGCTGACCGCAAGTCGCGAGACTTCTCTTTCGCTTCGCGCATGAAGTCATCCGCGGCGAGACCGCTGTCGATGTTCGTAATGGACGAGTCAGCCTGTAGCTGCTTGATAGTAAGTTGTACCACTTGCTTCTTCTTGTTGAACGAAGGTACGCAATGAAAAGTAGGACATCCAGCCCCTACGATCCATTGCTGGAAGAACGATTCCAACTTCTGATGTCCAACCTTCTCACAGATATCGAGGAAATCATCTGTAGCGATGGCGCCGTTGGCGTACTTGCCCTGACGAGCATTGAAAAGCATTCGGTACAGACACCTGTCGACACCATTCTTCCCGCTCTGTTTTACCAGACGGTTGTGGAGGATAGAGAGTACCATGAGCGATTTCAGCTCCATAAACTCAACCTCACCAGGATCCAGCTGTAGGACGTATCCAAGCTGCTGTAACGACGGACGTTTGCGGTCCATCTGAATGACTCTGTCGACCATCACCTTTTGACGGAACCGCCAATCGTTCCGACCGAACAGCTCTCGGAGGTAGAGCTCAGCCATGAACCAGGATCCACCAACGATGATCCAGTGATCTTCTGGGTTGTGTGCAATCACGTCGACGCCTATCCACTGGCTAGCTACCGCATGCACCAAGACCCTGGTTGTGTGCTCCAGTGGCTCCCATACAGTCTCCGGAAAGAGCAGGCGAGAGCTACAGATGGAGAAAGAGGCTGTGTGTGCAGTATCCCATTCCAGATCGTCTACGAATGCGAGCTTGTAGGAGTTGCCGAAAGCATAACTCTGGAAGCGCTCTGTGAAGGTGTCGAGAGCTCGGGCCAGCATCATGGCGCTGTTCCTGACCTCATTCTCCTTGCCTGGCAGACAAAACGCGTGAACTTTGATGGCATTCTCTCCCAAGCGCTCGTCATCGAGTGTGTCGCGATATTCCGAGAGATCGACATGTTCGAAGGGACCGATTACGAAGCCGATATGCTGTGGGAGGACGAGGGTATCGCACGAGAAGCTGGCTGTCTTTCGCGAAGAGTCGGCGGGATCGAGAATCTTTAAAGGTCAGCATCGGGCGCGCTAAATACAACGAATCGATACTCACATCGTCTGTTAGGGTACCGGAGCAGATGACTTGCATCTCCATGGCTTTTTCTTCCTCGGACAAGTCCACCTGATCGTCGTCCGCATCCAACATGACACTATCCGCCTTTTCGACACCCTGTGCTTGTGCCTGCACCTGCGCATTCGATTTGCTGAGCGCATCCCCCAGCGTTCGCGGG